CCCAATTAAAAAAAAATCTTTAAAATTTTTGTGCTTCTTTCACTTTTTCAAGTTTTTTTTTTGTTTTGGGGTTTGTTTTTTTTAATGAACGAAGTGATTCTGTGGTGAATAACTTGGGTCAGCTTAGGTTTTCATAAACTGGGACACACCTGAATTCATGAAACTGTAATGAGAAAATAAGATGATGATGATTTTGTCAGGTGGAGTTCTCTATCTCCTTATCGTCTTTGGCATGTTTTCCCCACTCACCTTCACGCAAATCCTCAGACAACCCTGAGATGGAAGGGGAGTGTGCATGTGAGTGTGAGTGTGAGTGTGAGTGTGTGTGTGTGTGTGTGTGTGTGTGTGTGTGTCTGTGTGTTAGCCCAGTTTCACAGATGCCACACAGACACCCCCAGTAGCAAGTTAGGGCTCCTCAGCACACCTGGGTTGGCATGGGAACAGAGAGACCAGCTGTGGAGACCTTCACTCTGCACCCCACCCAGACGGGATGACTCACCCCACATGATGCCTGCCTTCTCCTCTCTCCCCTATATTCTCATTTATTTATTTCATGTTCTTCTTTCAATAGACTCGCCTTTTAGAACTTAAATACGTTTATTTTAAAGGAAAGTTTAAATATCTAATGTAAATGGAAAACCAGCCAGACTTGCCATAAATAGAAGGGGCAACCATGGGCACACTCAGCCCACACAGGGTTTCATTCCAGCCAGCTGGGGCCCGCTAAGGGCTGTCTTGGCTTTAACGGGAGCCAGCTGAGGCTGGGACAGGTGTTAAGGACACATGAGCACCAAATGGAGCCTTTCTCCATGATGAGGTCAAAGAGTGGAAGAGAAAAGAAAAGGCAAGATGGTTCTCCCCAGGGGATTCCGGGACCTCCCCAAAGCATCCCGGCCGGGCACATCCCCAAGGCTTCTCCGGTCTGTGGCTCCCACAGGCCTCGGCAACTAACAGCCTATACCCCTTGCTTAGTGTGTTCTCTTCCTAACCTTGGGAGGTTTACATTTTGAAATGGGCTTAGCAAGGACAGATTGTGACCTGTTCAGGCCACTTGGCGGGAAGCCCTTTAGGTCTCACCCCCTCAAGGAGGCACTCCTGACCATGACCACCCCCCATCCAATCTTGATGCCCTTTTCAGACCTTCAGGGCTTCTTGTACCAGGAGGCCAATCACTGCCCACTTGGCTGGCTGACATGTGCCGCCCCCACTACCAGGGAGCCCTCCACTGCCCATGACCTCTCTGCCTGCTACAGCTCAGTCCCCGGAGTGGGTTAGGCACAGAAAACAGGCTCAGAGAGAGAATGGGTCAGGGCCAAGGCCATGCAGCAAGGGTCCAGAGGAATCCGGGCCAGGGTCCAGCTCTGCCTTACTGCAAGTCCCAGAGAGCAAGGACCCTACCTCAGTCACCCTGGGTCCCCAGGCCTGGCACAGCCTGAGCCTGGCACACCCTGTGTGAGGAAGGGCCCAGGGTGAGCCAGGGGAGGGGTGGCTGGCCGAGGCAGGCTGAGTGTCCTGAGGAGGAATGGGGAGGAAGACGGGCTGGCGACTCAAGGCCCCAGGCGGCCATTCCATGTGCATCAACCCCGATGGAAGCAAAGAAAAAGGAGTAAAACCGAATGTCCTCGGAAATTCCTTTAGTGTTCAGCTGTCCATGAAAACAGGATAAAGTGGCTTCCTCTGTCTATGCTCCCGCTGGGCTGGGTGGAGGCGCTGAGCTCAGGCCAGGACTCCTGAGTCAGGACAGGGGTGGGGCGGGGCTCTGAGCTGGAGAAGGGGTTCCAGCGTTGCTACTTGAGAGTGTCTAGGTGAGTGCAGACCTGGGAGAAGACACTGTCCACAGAGCCTTCGGCATTGACCTACAGGGAGACAGGCGGTCAGCACAGAGATGCTGGGTGGGCCCGACTGAGGCAGGCTCCTCCTCCAGAGGCCAGGCCTGGCTCCTGAGCCCAGCCACAGCGGACAGCAGCCCCTCCTCAAAGCAGTGGGGAGATCAAGGCCCAGGGAGGAGGGCTGACCCAAGGACACAGCAACCTGAGGCCAAGCCAGGCAATAACCCCGGTTTCCTAGGGCTCTCTTGGGCCTGCAGGGGGCGCACCTTTCGTACAATGCCTCGTTTCTCATAGAAGGCGATGACAGGTTCTGTGGCCTTGTAGTAGGTGTCCAGCCGCTTCTTGATGGTCTCCTCGTTGTCATCCACACGCCCGCTGGTCTCTCCACGTTTCAGGAGCCGCTGAGTCATCGTCTCGGGGCCTGCGTCCACATACAGCAGCAGCGTGGGCTCTCCGATCTGCAGGTGGGGCATTAGTCACAGGGGCCCCATTCCTGCCCGCTGGGGCCATCTCCTCCCCATCTTCCCACTTCTGGGGCCCCACCTGAGAGCCACTCAGACCTTCAAGCCCTTCCCCAAGGCAGCCTGACGGACCTTCCTAGAAACAGTGACCTCAGGAGAAAGTCCACGCTCCTTGCCCGATCTATGAGGACCTGCGCGGTTGGGCCCTGCCCCCACGCCAGCTCTCCTCATCTCAAGCTTCTCACTCCTTTGCTCTCCTTGCTTCAGCCACACTGACTCTCTGTGGTCTAGGCTGGCTCTCATCCTCCTCCTCCTATACCAGGCCTTGGCTCATGCCAGGACGCTCCCAGAAACTCTTTCCCCCAATAACAAGTGCTCACCTTCAGATTTGACCTAAACTCTCATTCCTCTAGGGCAGTCTTTCCAGGTGCCAACCCCACCACCATCCCCAGCCTCCTGGGACATGCTCTTCCAGTCCCCTTCTGCCTGGACTACCTCTCAGGAGGGCCAGGAGGGCCTCTGGATATTTTCCTAATGTCCCTCTCCCCAGCCTGGCCAGAGCCCCTGAGGGTAGGGAGGTGTCTGTCTTATACCAGCAGGACTGGATATGGACTTGACAAAGGAACCAGGGCTGAGTGAAGGAAGGGGTGAGGGGCTACTAATCTCTGGGAGGTTCTGAGCAATGTCACTTATTAGAATGAGTATTTCATTACCGGGAAGACTGGGAGGGCAAGAAGGACTAACTGTCTTCCTTTGGTGAGGACCTGGCGCCCCCTGGTGTCCAGAGTCAAAAAGACCAGGTGCTGGACCCCTGCAGGCCACAGCCTTGTGCCTAGCTGGCTCCCATACCAGCACCCACAACAACCCCAGGAGGGCTGGGGACTTTCATTAATCCCATTTTCTAAACGTGGCCCTGCGGACCAGAGGTGACGTGACACAGCTGGTGCATGTGGGCCAGGCCAGGACATGCCTTAGGGCTAGATCCATGGCCTCCTAGTCTGAAGGAAACCCAGCCAACCCCCATTTCACAGATTGGGAAACTAAGGCACAAATCAAAGGAGACACTTTCTGGAGGTCTTGCAGCCACTTAGAGGTCAAGGGGTACAGCATCCTACCTCTGGATGAAGCTCAAAGCTATGGAAGCCTAAAGAGAGGGGGAGTGGGGATGAGGGTCTGATCCTGCCCCCCCCCCAGCCCATCCCAGTCCTCCCTGCAAGGCCTAGAAGGAGTCCCTCTGCCAAGAAGCCCTCCCTGAGCCCCCCAGCACCTTTGCTGACCTCTCCCTCCTAGATACTTGCAGCTTTATCTGTTTCCCTCATATGGCGTGTGACACCAGAGGTATGGGTGTATGTGCATATATGTGTGTGCCCATGTGTGTGCATACCTGTGTATAGGTGTACTGAGTCCATGTACCTGCATTGCCTGAGGCACATGCGTGCATTGCCAGATGTGTGCACACATGTACACAGCCTGTGTGCATGCGTGCGTATGCCTGTGATCTCGGGGACATGTCTGTAGTGTGCACACGTATCAGCACTTTAGTGCCTGTGTGTGCATGCACGTGCCTGTACATGTGTATGTTTGGGCAAGGTGCTCCTGCCCTGCGGAAGGCTTTCCTGGTGGGCACCCACTTCAGGCAGCTCAGAGGCATTATCCTCAAGGCCCACTCTCCAGCCAGATCACCTGTGGCCTCCGGCATTCGAGGCCTCCAGCCAGGCCTGAATCTATCCTCTCCCACTTCCCCCCTAGGTGCCCTGTCCCAACAGCTTCTGTTCTCCCCATACTGGCCTGTCCCTTCCAGCCCTATCTATGCTATTTCCTGCCCCACTGACCATGTGTTTACAGGGTGCCAAGCCTCACTTTTGAAGGATACATCCTCTCTAATCCCCATGATGCCCCTCAAGGCAGCTGTGCCCTGTCTCTCCCCATTTTGCAGATGGGGACACTGAGGTTCAAAGAGGCAGAATGACGGCCCAAGGCCTCAAGCAGTTGAGCTGCAACCTGAGCCCAGGCTTGTGAACTCCCCAGCCTGGTGCTTCCTATTCTTCTAGACTTTTCTTCTAGACTTCCAAAAAGACTCCCAGAAATCTCCCCTTGTTTCCCAACTTACCCACCCCAAGCCCTCACAAATCAGTCTCTCTCTCTGCCCATCACAGCAGCCTCTACCTGGCCACCCCACATCACAGCTCCCGAAGGCCACCCACCAGGTCATGCCTTACCTTCTGCTCAAACTCTACCCCCTGCTGCACCTCCCGAGGGTAGCCGTCGATCAGGAAGCCTTTGGAAGCATCTAGCTTGGCCACCATGGCATCCCGGAGCATGTCCAACACTGTTTCCTGGGGACACAGAAAAAGAGGGAGGGGCCATGAGTCCCTCTTCCCCACCCTCCTCTGGGTCCTGGAGTGTGCTGCCCCACAGCTGAAAAGCCATCTGCCCTAACACAGATATCCCAAACAGGCCTCCCTCTCCTGGCCTTCTCTGAACCGAGAAGACTTGATTGATGGATAGAATCATTCATTCATTCAATAATATTAACTGAGCCCCAGCTCCTGTGGGGGCCCCAAGGATACAGCTGTGAACAAAGCAGACCTTCCCTGCCCTTGGGAAACTCATAGTCAGCTGAGGGGACAGACAATTACACAGCTGATTTATCAATTTCCAAGCATGATACAGGTTGCATGGGTAGAGAGGCTACTGGAGTATAAAGTTAAGTGGGTATTAGCCGTTCCTTTCAGGAAGGACTGAAAGCTAAAGTGGAAAAAAAACATTCCAGGCAGGACAGAGTATAATGAGTTTGAGGGGACAGAAAGGCCAGGGTGGCGGGAGGGTGCAGGGGTCAGCAAGGCAGGGTCCTGGAGACTCTTGGGAGCTTCTGGAAGAAACTGTCTGCCAAGGGCAATTGGGATCCACGAAAGGGTTCAGAGCCAGGGAAGGGCATGGTCAGCCTTGCCAGTGTTTCATGGGTTTTGCTGGCTGATGTCTCCTTAAGGCCACCGTCACCCTCACGCCCTCCCCGTCGGGGCACACTCACCAGTGGCACCAGCTGCCCCTTCTCCATGATCTCCGACAGCATCTTGCCCCTGGCCGAGCCGGAGCTGACCTCGGCCCGCAGAAGGTCCCCGGTGGAGAGGTGGGTGTAGCCGTACTTCTGGACAATCTTCTCACACTGGGTGCCCTTCCCTGAGCCGGGCCCGCCTGCAAGCGCCCACCCATTCAGAAGCCTCAAGAAATGAGGCCCCGACAGGGACAGGGTGTACCCGGGTCATCCAGCGAAGGATGGGCAGAGCCCAGGGCGCAGCCCCAGGCCCTGGCTCCCACCAGTGCCTGTGAAGACCCCCTTGCTCGTGCCTCACCCGCCTGCCTTGGACTCACCCACCACAAAGATGATCTTGGTTTTCTTCAGCTTCTCTGTGGGAGAGAAAAGGGGAGCAGAGTTCAGTCAGTCGCTTGGCAAATAGCCAGAAGCACTTCCAGAGTCCCAGACCTGTGCTGAGCCGGAGGCAGAGGGACAGACATAGCCCACGCCCTGTCAGAGAGGCAGATAAGTCACAGCCCAGAGTGAGTGGTGGTGGGGTGAGGAAAGCTCAGAGACTGGGACAGGTTAGAGGGAGGGAGGGTGTTCTAGGCGGAGGGATCAGCAGAGGCACAGGCCGTGAGGCTGACTCTCAGGGGCTCATATACCAACCCTCACACCCCCACCCTGTAGGTGGCTGGACCACAGCAGCGGGTCACCTCTGGCCTTCAAGTCTTCCTCACTGCGGGAGTTTCTCGCTGAGCAGCAGGCACCCATGGTCCTGTTCTGCTGTGTCGCCTACCCTTCCCCTAGCCAAGCCCTGGGCCTGCCCATCACCCCGCCTTCCCTGGGTGGTACAAATGTGGAGTTGGCAACCACAACATATATTGCCCTGGAGACAGTTGCCGGGGAAGAGGGCTGTGGTGGGTACGTGGAACCCTTGCCCAGAGAAGGAGGCCAGCTTACATTCCAACCTCTGCCTCGCAGGCCCTTAGAAAGGCCACAGCCCCAACAACAGAGGGAAACTGAGGCCTAGAGAGGCAGGGGCCTGCTCCAGGGCTTCCAGAACATGAACTGGAGCCCAGGGCCTCTTCCCAGGCTGCTGGCTTTCCCTTCTTCTTGGGGGAAGAATTCCATGCCCCCCTCTGGTTCTCTGTCCCTGTCACAATGAGCAGGTGAGCTTGGCAGCTCCCGGGGGCCCTCCTGGCCACGGGGCTAGAGCCTAGAGGAGTTGTCAAAAGAATGACTTCTCCTGTGGGTTCCCACCACCTGCCTGCCGTGGGATGGGCTCAAGCCTGGGTGTGGGGGGAGGCCACAGCCCAGTGGCAGCTGACTTTTGGAGCCCCAGGCGTGAAAGGGTGACTGCTGGTTTCAGGCGGCGGCAGCAGGCAGGCCCACTGGGCTCCTTTAAGAGCTGCCCAGGCTGAGGCACAACGCCAGAGATGGGACGGGTGGCGCTGCCAGAAGGCGGGCCAGCTAGGCTCTCTGCTCATGACTCCTTCCAGGTCCAGCCCATAAGAGCCAGGAATGTCCAAGACATCCCCAAGACCCACCCCCACTGGACGACCAGGAAACTGCGTCCCAGAGAGGGGCATCTGCACCCTTGGGGCTTCTCCACAGGGCAGGCCTCCCCTCGCCCATGCCCACCCTCTCCAGAAAGACGCAGGGATTCCGCTCTAAAAATACCAGCGTAGGTGGTGCGCTACGGGGCCCTCCGGAGCCTGAAGGAGGCCTCATCGCTTCTAAAATTAATCGTGAAATTGGCACATCCTGTGAGACGCCTGAGGAGGAGACTGAAGGCTCCCACACAGGCCCCCTCTGGCAGCCCCAGGGCTTCCTCTAGCCCCTCCCAGAACAGCTCCCGAAAGCACACCTCCTTAACAGATGGGCACACTGAGGCCCAGGCAGTGAGCAGGGTTGGAGAAGAGCCTTCATACCTTCCATCCTGCCAAGGTTCCGGGAGCCGAGTCAGTGCTCTGCAAGACAAGGGCACCGGTGGGGCAGGTGAGTGAGATTCTCCCCACCCCACCTCTGCTCCTGCCAAGCCACTGGCATGTGCCAGCCGTGCCAGGCCCTGACGTGCCTTCAGAGGGCGGAGGGGACTGCTGGGGAAAGGGAAGGCCCAAGAGGCTGGGTGACCTTGGGAAAGTCATCTTTCTTCTGTGCGCTCCCCCTGCCTCACCTGTCAGGAAGGGCAGCAGCTTCCTCCTGGCCACTGAGGGGCATAAACTGAGACACCAGCAACTGCGCAGCGGCTCCCCTCGCAAGTCCCAGAAAACAGAGCCCAGTCCTGCATCTGCTGGACACCTTGGCAACGCTCTGGCTCCCCAGGGCAGGGAAGAAAGCTGCTGGGGAGGCAGGAGGAGGGACGGGGAGCCGGGTGTGTCCTCCTCTGGGATGGCGCTTCCAAGCAGATACTCAAAGGGACCCAGAAGTCTGAAGGGAAGGTAGCTGCGGGGCCGTTTGTGTGGACACCGCCCTGCGGTTTTCAAACAAGGGATTCCCCAGGCTCTCGGTCTTCCACCCCCTGCAGACCCAACTACCACGCCCTACGCCCTACGTGGCCCCAGCCCCCGACCCCCTTGAGAACCTTGCTCCACTGCCCTCCCATCCCCTCAGCATACAAATAACCCCAACCCCTCCTGGGACCCCACTTTGCTTCCACAGCCCCCCAGGGACCTCCCTCAACCTCCCCTTCCCATCTGTCTTTTCAGAATTACTGCCTATACATCGTTGGCCTCACCCACCAGCCCTCCCCAAGGCCACCAGCAACCATCACGGCCACTCTTGCCTTGACCTTTAACCCTCAGCCCTAGGCCAGCATTCCTCCTGCCTGAGACCCTCACCCCAGGCCCCTACTCCACCCTCTCACTGTTGGTTTCAGGTTCCCAGGAGCCCCCTGCCTAGCCAGTAGAAGCCTCTATCCAGCATCATAAGTCTGCAGCCCTTGGACATGCTAGAGGCCCCTCAGACTCTAAACAGTCCCTCCTGCTCCCCAGCTAGAGGCCCCTCTCTCACACCCACTTCCACCCTGCATAAGCAGATCCCAGCTCTCTTGTTCCTGAACCTCTCTCTAGTCTGTGTCCTCAGGGCCATTTCCTTGTTCCAGGCAGGTAGCCTCCGCACCTCCACACCCCACCACACAAGCATAAGGCCATGTCACTTGTGTGCCTAAAACGCTTCCATGTGTGGCCCTCTCAGCTCCCAACAAAAAGCCTGGGCCCCAAATGTAGCTGACAGCCTAACGATTTGCCCCACCCCTCTGCAGCTTTATCAGCTGCTGTTGAAACTGCTGGGAGCTCCCTCACCCACCGTGACCATGTCCCACCTCGAGGCCCCAGCTCATGTTGCACCCAATGTCTGGATGCCTTTACCCCAGGTGCTACTGTTTTGGACTCAATTCAAGTGTTGCCTCCTTCAGGAAGCCTTCCTGGACTTGCCCTCCACTCCCACACTGGCAGGTCCTTCCTCTAAACTTCTCGTGGTGTCACACATATCACACTGTATTGAGCCTCCCTGTTGTACTGCAGGTCTGTATCCCCCTGGCCCAGGCTGAGCATAGAGCTGGGGAGCCTCACTCAATCCTCACAGCCGTCTTCCGTCTTCTCAGGGAACTGAGGCTTAGAGAGGAGAGACTTGCCCCAGGGCCTGGCTCGGGTCAAACCTGGGGCTGCCGTTTCCTGCTGCTTTGGGCCCAGCACCCAGTAGGTCCTTAAGCAGCTTTGCTGACCGTGCTGCTTGAGAGGCATGAGTTATGGCCTCTTTCCTGCTGAGTGTGCTTAAGGAAGGGCAGTAGCTGCCAACACACCCCAGCAGCTGGCAGGGGCGAGGGAGGGTCCCCAGGCCAGGGACAGCCTGCAGTGACACCTGAGGAGTTGCCTCCAATCCCACCCTGCTCCGCCCTCTCCTAGTAACCTAAGCCCCTCTGTCCTGTTGGCACCTGCCACCTCCTGGGTCCAAAATAACCTGGGTCCTGAGGAGGCCTCACAGAGGCCAGGGGTCCAGGATGGAGTTGGGTTACGGACTCAGCGCCCAGGCCTTATAAGGCCCCCGGATCGGGGCCGCAGTGACTCCTAGTATAACTGGGTGGTCTGTCCAGGGGTCTGAGGGGCTGAGGCCAGAAGGACAGAGACTTAACCTCAATCACAAGGCAAGACCCAGGTCTCCCATCTCCCAACCAAAGGCAGCCTTGACAGTGGTTGGCAACAACTAGGGTTCAAACCCCAACTCCATCACTCAGTTGTGTGACCTTGGACAGCTGATGTCCCTTCTTTGGGCCTGCACCCCAGGCCCTGTCCTGCTGCTGCCGAAGAGTCCAGGGTTGGTAGCTGAGCAGTGCTCAGGAAAGACCCTATGTGCTGGCCTCAGAGCCCCTGCTCTTTCAGAGGGCTGAGGCAGGGGGCCAAACATCCAGGGGACATCCCATCCCCCCAGCACTCAAAATGACAGGATAGCTCCTCCAATCACAGAGGCTGCTCCGCCCACCCAGGTCGTTGAGGGAGGGAGTCAGGCCACAGCCCCCCCTCCCTGGGCCCCAGCTGGGATGTGCCAAGGACAGGAACCTGGAGCCCCAGGAGTACAAGCCAGGACAAAGGGGTGACTGTGTAGGAGGTTGGGAGGGACTGCAACACACACACACACACACACACACACACACACACACACACACACAGGCACACAGTGTGGCATGAATACCCAGAGCAGAGCCTGGGGAGTACAGACAGGCAAATACACACAGATCATAACCATGGACACACACACAGCCACACAAACCCCAAGGATACCCCGACACCACAAACATGCACGCCCCAGGTGCTTGCAGCTCCCCCAGTCCCCGCACCGGCACTTCCCCGCAACATGCACAGACAGGCACAGAGGCACACACTGACCTGGGGGTGGGGTGCGGCTGGGCGCTGGGGCCAGTGCGTGCCCTGCCTGTCCTCGCCAGTCACCCACCCGCAAAGGCGACTATTTATAAGGCTGTCAGCAGCGCATGGCATGCTGGGAGCCAGCTTCGAGATGGCAGGAGGGAGGGAGGTGGGAGGGAGAGCAGGCAGGGCAGGGAGGGGACTGGACCAGAGCGGAGCAAGACTGGATGGAGTCCTCCATCCAGGTGGCTGTGCCTATACCCGCACACAGCACTTTACAGTTTTCTGAGAGTTTTTCATTCCTGCGTTGCCTCCTCCGTGCCCATATCACGGGGACAGGACCAGGTTTCCCATATGACAGCTGGAGAAACAGGCCCAGATAGAAGAGGCTCTTTGCACAAAATCCCACAGCAAATTGGTGGCAGAGAGAGGCCAGACCAGGGAGGGAGGACACCGAGGCATGGATTCTGGGGGGTTTGCTGGCCAGGCAGTCCCCTCAGTCCCTTCTCAGATCCAGCCCAGAGGCACCTGGGCCAAGACCCACGTGGAATTCCTCCTCCCTTGATGGAAGGGATCCCAAGAACTCCTGTGGGACTGAAACTCCCCAGGACCCCAAAGACCACCCACAAAGTCCTCTCCCAGCTGGTGGTTGTGTACAAGATTATTTAAAAACCCACCCTGCCCCCATTGGCAGCTCCCAAGGAGGCGAACCTGAGTATGTGGGACATTCAGAATGCTGTACCCAGATGGGGGACTGGCGAGCCTGATAAAACGAACAGCCCCCATTAATGAGCACTTACTGCAGTGCCAGGCACTGAGCAGAGCGCCAGACTCAGGCCATGTCTGCGAATCTTTAACATGGAGGAAAGTGAGGTTCACACCTGTAAAATCGCTTGCCTGAGGTTCCCAAGCAGAAAGTGATGTGCTTATCCACGGAGACTGACACACAGCAGTAGGTGCTCAATAATGTAGCAGAAGAGACCAGGACCATGCAGCTTCAGAACTCCTGCACTTGACCACTACACCATGACCTTGGAAGCAGCAGTCTCAGATGATGGGGTGGGTTAAATTTAGAATTTGTCTTATAGGTACTAGGGAGCCATGGGAGGTGTTTGAGCAAGACAGAGAGACTACCCAGAGAGTGAGACTACTTTCGGTGGGTGGTTTCTTAGCAACAACAGCAGCCTAGACACCAGAGGCCTGGATCTAGTCCCAGCTCTGCCACCTGTGATATCAGACAAGGTCCTTACTCCTTAAGACCCTAGTTTCCCCATCTGTGGGAGGACAGGTGCTGACTTAGAGGGTCTGCCTTAGAAGTTGTTTGAAAGGCCCTATCCCAAACTATAGGTGGCTGTGTGCATTGACACAACCTTTGGGGGAAGCAAATTGAAGATGTCCATCAGAATTTCAAATGTGCCCTTCACCTTTAGGAATCCCACATGTGGGCACCAAATGTGTACAGGATGGTTCCCTAGTGCCCGTGGGGACTGACTGATGGGAGGGACAGTGGTACAGCCAGGCAGGTGGAGGGGTGGTGACTGCCCTAGAGTCACCATGAGAAAGGATGCCAGAGGTCTGTGAGGCTGGCAGGGCAAGAAAAACAGGCAAACGCCCAGCTGTGCCGGACTTACCTTCAACAATTCTAAACATGCAGGGGTAGGGGTGTGTGAGAAAATCTAGTCCTCATTTTTTTTCTTTGCATTTTAGCATCTCTGAAACTGTGTGGTCTTATAATCAAGTCAATGGCATCTTCAAGTTGATGAAATAAAGTAGAACTGAGCAGGGGTGGGGAGGGGGTGCCCATGATCCCACGGGGTGGGGGCTGGACTCTCACTTGTTACTTAAAGGCTTCTTTTCTTTTCTTCCTTACTTTTTTTTAATACAACAAGCATCTATTACTTTACATATAAAACACTTTTAACACAGAGGTAGCTTGAGGACATTATGCTAAATGAAATAAGCCAGTCACGAAAAGACAAATACTGTACCATTCCACTTACATGAGGTATCTAAAGTAGTCAAATTCATAGAAACAGAAAGTAGAATGGTATTACCAGGGGCTGAGGGCGAGGGGGAATGGGAGTTGTTTAATGGGTCTAGAGTTTCAGATCTGCAAGATGCAAAACTCCTGGAGACCTGCTTTACAACAATGTAAAAATACTTAACACTACTGAACTGTACACTTAAAAATGGTTAACTGGTAACTCTTATGTGTGTTCGTTTGTTTACCACAATAAAAAAATAAATGTAAAAATCTTAAAAATTGAAAAAAGAAACCTATTTTAAGTACCTGTTTTAACTATATCATTGATTTTCCACCTGTTGATTTTCCACCAATGCTGAAATATTAAAGATTCAGGATTTTTTTTTCTCAGATATAACCTAAAGAAAGAAAAAAAGGAGGGAGAGAGGAGGAGAGGCAGGGAGGGAGGAAGAGAGGAAGGAAAGAAGGAATGAAAGAAGGAAAGAAGGGAGGGACAGAGGGAAGGGAGAGAGGGAAAGAAAAAAACTGCATGGAGGAAAAATCTGGAAGGGTATACCTTCCAGCGGTTCTCAACCTGTGGGTCGCGACCCCTTTGGGGGTCGAACGACCCTTTCACAGGGATCGCCTAAGACCATCGGAAAGCAAAACGATATTTATATTACGATTCATAACAGTAGCAAAATTACAGTTATAGAGTAGCAACGAAAATCATTTTATGGTTGGGGGGTCACCGCAACGTGAGGAACTGTATTAAGGGGTCGCGGCATTAGGAAGGTTGAGAACCGCTGCCTTAGACTGTTAACAGGGAATAGGACTGGGTGATGCTCTAACTTTCTATTTTATGTCATTTATATGGTTTCAGTTATTTTATAACATTAAAAAATACCTAAAAACATAACCATATAAAATGAAACCAATTTTTAAAAACATTTTAAAAATATTCTGGTTAAAGAAAGAATTCCCAGGCTTGAAAACAAGCCAGCATTGGAGAGTAAACCTGGTCCGGCCTCACTCTGTTCACAGCTGGATCCCGGCATCGGCACACGGGCCCCTGAGGGGCTGGCTGCCCCAAGTGGGCCCAGCTCGACTGCTGAGCCCCTGCAGGAAACTGGCTGAAGCCCGTGTGGGCTTTGCAGCTGGTGGAAGATGCCCCCACCCCCAAGCAGGGGTGGAGGGGCCCACAGGGGTAAGAGGGATACTCAGGGATACCCCAAATTAGGAGGTGGACTTGGTCCTGGCCACAGTGGGGAGCCAGTGAAGGTTTCAGAGCAAAGAGAGCCGTGATAAGGTGGCTTCTGGAAGGTAATGTTGGCAATGAGTGTACCAGTCTCCATGAGACCCCTCTGTGGGGGGTGAGAGTTGGTGGGGTTGAGGACTAGGCCCCAGGCCTCCTGCCCTCAGCATCTTCTCCCAGTCCTACTTCTTGCTGAACTGAATTTTCCCAGGGTCGGCCCCCAGCAGCCCAGCCCCTCCTGCATCTCCCTTCATACCCACCAGTGGGCAGACAGGGTCCCAGAAGCCTTTGCACAGGCCTGGAGGGTGTTCCATTCCCGTATTCCCACCCCCATGCAAGGCCTTAGGCTCACCACATAATGACTTTGCAAGGAGTCCCTGTTTCTTCAACACTCCCACCACCACCATCATTACTGTGCATGGCTGGCCCAGGCCCTGGGCCCGGCAACCTCCCAGCCTCCTGACTGTCCTGCTGCTGTCTGAGCAAGGACAACCTCTCCAAACAAGAGGGATTGAGCCTTTGCCCCCCTTAGGCTGGCACTCATGGCCTTTTGCCATCTGGTCCCACTGCTCCTTCCTTCTATAGTCTTGCTGCCTACTGAGCAGCGAGGCTATGGGTCCCACCACTGGGCTATTGTTTGGGCCATTCTTCCCACCTGACATTCCCTCCCTCTTCAAGTGCACCTAATACAGCACATGGCACATGGCTACTTACTGAGAGAAAGTATACGTGAACTGAGGTACAAACGCAGGGTGCCCTTCTCTCCTCCCAGCTCCATGGACCACCATCTCGGCTGGCCCAGTGCCCAGGGAGAGCTCTTTCTGGGTCCCCAGCAGGCCGCCTGCCCTTGTCTCACACAGTCACCCTTTGTTAGGCCTCCCGCTCCCAAGGGCATCTTATCTGCCTGAACAGGTTGTAATCTCCCAGGGTCACGGACCCCCTTCCTTCTGCCAATCTGGTAAACAAGGGCTTTTACTCAACCACAGCTCACTACACCCCTCCCAGGGTTGCAGCCCTGCCGATTCCTGCCTGCTGGGCCCTGCAGGAAATTTTGGCTTCCTGCCCTCAGCACCCCCAGGCCCTAGAGCCCACCTCTGACCCCACCACCTCCCCTCTCCCCTCAACAGGCTGCTGTGGCTTCCTGCCTCCTGTCTCCCCAGCTGCTTCCTGTGACAGGGTTGTCCTTCTCTCCCACTCCACTTCTCTCCCCGCAGGAAACTCTTCCCCGAACCTCTACAGGGCTCTTCATCTTTCAGGTCTCCAAAGAACATTGCCTCAAAAGCCCCTCTTACAGCATGTGTGTGACTATCTTTGTAGCCCTTTACTGCCCTTGGTGGCCTGACTGAGGCAGAACCTGTCATGGGGCCCCTCCCCGCCCTAGAACCTGAGCTCCTTGAGGGCAGTGTGTGGTCCCATTTCCGCCGCCAGGAGGCGACGGGGATTCTGAGACGGCAAGTGACTTGCCCAAGCTCACACAGGCAGGGGCAAGCGGGACTGGAAAAGCCAGGTGGGCTTGGCTTGGGAACCCCACGCCTCCCCAACCCCCAGAACTGCCAGCTCTCCACCCAAATTGTAGAACGCGTGACTCACTGGCCAGCTGAGAAAGCTGGCCCTCCTGCTTGTACGTGAGCTCCCAACGTGGAGGGTGTGGGCACTGTCCCGAGGAAGCCCAAAACCCCAGGCCAGAGAGAGCCCAGCTCGACCGGGAGACACAGGAAATGGAGCCGGAGCTTAGGTGCATTTATTCCTGTACAAATCATTACAAAATCAAGTCTGGGGGAGTCGCTGCCCCCCCCACCCCTCATGTGCAATAGCTTGCCTGGCCTCCTCCTCCCCAACCTGGTCCCTCCCATTCAACAGCCTCCTCCAGGAAAGCCCTCCCGTCTTCCCTTCCAGGCTTCAGAAGAGCAGGGGCAAACCACCCCCACTGTGGCCCAGCAATAAAGTGCCTGATACAGAGTGAAGGGGGATAGAACCCAAGCAACGCAGCTCGCAGCCTTCTTGAGCTATCCTAGGCCCCATGGGAACCTTGGATAACTCCAGAAACTACAAAGGGACTGCTTGAAACCCGCTTGGCTGGGGTCCTTCGTTTCTCAGCCCCAAAGGCTCCTCCAACAGGTGGAAAGCCTCGCTGCTGGATGGCAGAAAAGGGGGCCTGGCTCTTTAAGAGCCAAGTTAATAGCAGCTGGGCAGAGGGCTAAGAAACAGCTGGAGGTTTGTCCCATTCTTATCAGAGCCCCCCAAACCTGGGGGAGTTTGAACAAAAATACCCTCATTTCCAGGAAGAGATGGGGAAAGGAATCCCAGATGCCCAGGGAGCTGAGCTCCCAACAATCTGAGACCTCCCAGGGAGCTTAGCCCTACCAGCAAGGGAACCCCAGACCCTCAGAACCTGACATGGGCAGAAGGGTGCCAGAGAGGGGGCAAGGGATTTGTCCAAGGCCACTCAGGGCAGAACCAAGATCGGGACACTGGCCTCCCACCTCTGGGACCCCTACACGCAACCCCACAAATGCCCAGCCGGCTTCTGGACAGCAGCCACCTCCCATGCAGCCTCTTTGTGGCTCTGGGAAGTGAGGGGGCAACACAAAGTTCCCAGCTCCTTGGGACAGGACCCCATTGTCCCAGCCAACAAGAAGTGATTTGTGGATCGTCCTGGGGCCCTGAACCAAGGCCTCATGGGAAAGGACATGTCCTTAGCCTCACTTACTCAGAAATACCCTGATTGACTATGCTCAGACCCTGACTGCACAAGAAATCTCAACACCCCTGATTGACCACATAGAAGTCCAAATCCCTGATTGGCCAAGAGCTACCCCCAGGCCCTGACTGGCTGGGAGATACACCCTCTTCAAGACCCTGACTGGCCAGAAGACACTCCAGCCAGTCTTGACTGGCCAGGAGATGGCCCTTGGTAAAGGGGCTGGATGGAGAGCCACTTCTCCTCTGTCCCTTGGGAGGGCCCCGCAGGCAGGGCGGCCTAGGTCCAAGAGGGATGGGAGAAGGTGATCCCGTACAGCTGGGCCCAGGACGAGAAGACCCTCTTCTCGGTGATGAAGCGGTGGTGGTTGCCCTTGCGGCTGTGCTCATTCTGGATGTAGGTGACACACTCGTCCGGCCCCTTGGGCTCATAGTAGTGGTAGGGCATGCGCTGCAGGCGGGGCCGCTGGCTGGGGCAGAGCAGATGGGGGCCGTGAGGGCAGGGTGGGCACCGGCAGGGCCCTTCCCCTTTCCAGCCCCTGACCTGCTGCAGGACCTCAGTGGCGGAAAGCCCTGCCCCTCCCTGGGCCTCAGTTTCCCCATCTGTAAAATGGGTGGAGGGTAGTCGAGGTTTGGGACCACCACACTTTTTTTTTTTTTTTTTAAATGCAGACCTTTTCCTGTCCCCAGGAGGTGGCAGAGTGTAGGGTAGAGGTAAGGACTGTGGGCTCTGGAGCCTGGCCACCATCCTTTACTGTCTGTGGGACCTTAGGGCACTCACAAAACGTCCTCCTCAGTTTTTCTCATCTAAGAAATGAGGAGAATAACGTACCTTTCTCAGGGTCACTGTGAGGAGTGAATGAGATAATAAATATAGCTGTGCTTGGGACGTGATCAGCACTCAATAAAGAATAGCTGTCACCTTGTAGGCTTTTCATACAGTAATGATAACAGTTATTATTAATATACGAACTCTGGACTCTGGCTGAGCTTGGGGTGGAGGCCTCTGAGGTAGCTCCAAGGAGCCTAGATCACTGCAGAACAGTCTGAATGCCATCAAATAGAGGCCCTTAAAGGCCCCCCAGCCAGTTTCCAGGCCCCCAGCTTCATCCCGCAGCCTGTGACTGGGCATTGTCCGGGGGGGGGCTCACCTGCAGTAGTCGGGGGGTACCATGCCATAGACGTGCACGTGGTCACATAACTCCACTGCAATCACCATAGTGAACCAGCCTGTGCTCAACCACGAATGGGACTTTTCCCTGCGGGCAGAGAGCGAGCATAAGGGGTCATGCAGGCAGGGGTGAAACAGGCAGGGGAACTGGTCAACCCCGTTTCCAGGAACTCCACCCACCCACTCATCGGGCCCTCCCACCACTGCAGTCACCCCCAGTCCAGCCCACTGTGGGCTCAGGGGCATACCAGCGGGCGGGCTCCTCTGAGCAGAGGTGAGGGGTGTGGAAAGAGCTCCTTTGAGGGAAAGAGTAGGAAGACAGCATGCTGGGAATAAACTCCTGGGGAGACCGGTCACACTTGGGCAGGCTGGGAGGGACCACGACCACAGAACATGCTAGAAGCAGCTGTGCCTATGCTAGGAGCAAACTCCCAAGGGGAGACTAATCAAAGACAGTTATGCTAAATGTGACAAGTTCAGAGCAAAGCATGGAAAAGTAGCTAAGAGCCTAGAACTGTGCTTTTCACTACAGCTGCCACATGTAGCACATGTGAGCACTTGACATGGGCTGAGATGTGCCGTTAATGTAAAACACACTGGATTTCTTAGAGTATGAGAAAAAGAATGTAGACTATGTCATTGATAATTTCTGACATTGATTACATGGTGAACTGAAAATATTTTGGGTATATTTGATTGACGGTGGTTCTTTGAAAAGTTTCAAAGAAAATAAACCTCTTATAAGACTGACAACAGAAAAAACACAAATTACCAATATCAAGAATAGAAGAGAGGATATCATCCTAGACTGTGTAAACATTAAAAGAATAATAAGAAAACCACAAAAAAACCCCGACATACATGACAACTTAAATGAAATGGGCCAATGCCTTGAAAACCACAAACTACCAAACCTCACCCAAGATGAAACATGCTGTACTGTTAAAGAAATTGAATTCATAGTTTAAAATCTTCTGAAAAGGAGCTCTCCAGGGTCAGACAGTTTCACTAGCAAATTCTACCAAACATTTAAAGAAGAAATAACACCAATTCTTCAGGAAAATAGAAGAGGAAACATTTCCCAATTCATTTTCGGAGGTCAACATTACCCTGATACCAAAAGCAGGCAAAGACAGTACAAAATAAACTATAGATCAATATCTCCCATGAACACAGATAGAAAAATATCAACAAAATATTAGCAAGTCAAATCCAGCAATAGACATACAGGGCAGCTACAAAAACCTGTAGCTAACATCATATTCAATGATCAAAGACTGAATGCTTTTCTCCAAGACTAGGACCAAGGCAAAGATGTCTACTCTCACCACTTCCAATACAATTCAACATTGTATTAAAAGTCCTAGCCAGTGCAATAAGGCAAGAAAAAAAAAAAACAAGAGGCATATATATTGGAAAGGAAGAAATAAAACCATCCTTATTTGCATGTCCTTACATAATCATCTGCATAGAAAATCCCAAAGAATCTACAAAAATCTCCTAGAAACAATAAGTAAGTTTAGCAGGATTACGGGATATAAGGTCAACACACAATAATCAATCATATTTCTAAATACCTTCAATGAATAATTAGGAACCAAAAAAGATTTTTTTTAATGCCATTTACAATAGCTCCAAAACTTCCAATGTTTTGGTATAAATCAAACACAATATGTACATGATCTATATGTTGGACATAATGGATTAAATAAAACATATTAAAAATAATTTCATCTTTTTCGTTTTACTTTTTTAATGTGGCTACTAGAAAAATTTAAATTATGTATGTGGCTTGTATATTGGACGGCACTAGCCTGCCTAGTTTTTCTAGGGAGATTAGTCAGAGCAGTGCTGGGAGTGATTTATGCATAGAATAGAACATGCTGGGAGCAATAGTATGCTTAAAGCAAGAAGTGCTGGGAATAGTCAACATTTTCCATGAGGCACACTATACAGGGAGCTCTCCTAGAAAGATGCCAGAAGTGACTGCACGATCTTACAGCAGAACATGCTGGGAACCCTCATTTCCTCAGAAGGATGCATGCTAGGAGGAAGTCCTCCTGGGGAGAAGAGGCCATACAGAGCATGTTGGAAATGACTTGTGCTAAGAGGTGGACATGAAGAGAACTTCTCTAAGAAACATGACCAGAGGGTGGCAAGAAATGACCACACCCTGAGAGCAGTGCACGCTAGGAGCAACAGGCCCTCTGGGCAGAGCATGCTGCGGGGGAGCAGAGGGCTATCCAGAGGGAGCGGGCAGGAGGCTGGTACCTGTCCTTGCCCGTCTCACCCCGGAAGAGGTCGTCAAATTGGCGCATGCGGCCGGGAGAGACGGTGTAGGCCTCCATGTTGGGGAACACCAGGCCTGCCCGCTGGATGACACGCACAAGGCTTCCCTGGGGTTTCTGCATCTTGTTCGGGGGACCCCAGAAGATGAATACGGTTTCGGGGGTCCGGTTGACAAACTCCTGGGGTCTCCGCAGCACACGGAATACACTGGAGTGGGCCACCACACGGAAAGTGGTCTTGTTGCCCACATCTGCTGAGTAGCCTGTGGTGGGCGCGTCATTCATGCGGATTGTGCACTCAGCCCGTTCAATCTCAGGGCCCAGCTTGGTGCCCAGCAGGTGGCTGGAGCTGGTGACAATCACACACTGGTGGCACCGGGAGGGCAGCGTCTGGGGAGGCAAGGAAAGTCAACACTGTGACGACCATTCCACGCCAGGCCCTGTGCTTTGTACATCCAGACTTCCAGGAGGCTGGAATTACTGTGCCCATTTTAAAGACAGAAACCAAAGCCCATTCAGTCAACATTCAACAAATATTTATAGCAAGCTGGTTAATGACCAAGTACTTGGGGCAGAGCAATGAGCAAAAGAGACCCCACTCCTGCCTTCAAGAACTCACGGCTAGGGCCGGCCAAGCGGCTCAGTTAGTTAAGAGCTTGCTCAATAGTGCAAGCTCTGAGCAACAGGGTTGCCAGTTCGATTCCTGGCCTGAGCTGAGCTGCCAACAGGTGGCAGGATGGTTCGGCTAAAAAATAAAAAAAAAAAGAACTCATGGCCGGGGAGACAGACAGCAAACAAGTAAATGATAAAATAATGCCAGGTGGTTAAGTAAAATGTGCTAGTGCTAGGAAGAAAATAAAATAAGAGGCAGGGGATCAAAAATGACAGGAGCAGGAGCTGTTTTTGTGTTGTCAAGTACCCCAGTGTCCTCCCAAACCCTGTGTGGACTCACCAGTAGAGACAGATCAGTGAAAACCAGACAGCTTTCTAAAGGGATTCTGACAAAGGAGATGGTGGGATATTAGTCTAAGGATGGAAACTTGGGAGAACTGAGGCCCAGAGAGGGGCAGAACACTTGTCCAAGGTCACACATCAAACAAGGGGCTGAAGGCACTGAAAGCCAGGGCCTTGACTCCCAAGATCCACCCTTTCCTTGAGGAGGGATGGAGGGAATGGAGAAAGGAGGCGGAGGGAGCAGTGATGGTGGGCTATGGGGAGGATCTCCCCAGAGTGGCCGCCCTACCTTGTTGCCTAGAACGGGGACATAGCCATCGGTGATGCTCCACTTCCTGAGGTTGATGGGCCGGCGGCTGCGGCCCCGCAGGGAGCCGTAATGGAAGACCTCACTGGCACTGTTGGAGCTGTAGAGGATGAGGATGGTGATGAGAGCAAAGAGGATCACGAACACTGCTGACCGCTGCTCCTGGAGAGGGGAGAGGCCGGTGAGGGTCCGGGGACCCTACAGGCGCAGTGCCCCGCCTACTTGCCGCCTACCACACCCAACTAACTCCTGCTTCTCATTCCAGACCAGTTCACTACCTCCTCCAGCAAAGCCTCCTCCGGCCCCTGGTGCACCTGCCCCGCCCCATCACAGCACTGATCACGCCGCCCCCATGAGCTCTGAGGCTGGGACTGGGTCAGCCTTGCTGTGATCACAGCTTCTCCAGAGTTCAGCTCACCTAGTACACTCAACCACCTGCAACACCCAGAGACCCTCAGCTTCCCTTCCCTGGAGCAGACCTTGTATAGACCTTGGGTGCCTCCAGGGAGTTATCTCCTGTGAACAGCTATCCCTGTAGCTTAAGAGGGTAGATTTGTGACTTCCACCAGCACAGCACCACAGCGAGTTCTCTGCCTTCCATAGCTGTTCCCTCTCCAGAAAGGCCTGAGTCTCAGCCGGGGGGGCTGCTCCTTAACCTGCGATTCCTGTATTCCTTAACGTTCCGATCTCTCGTTACTCCAATGTCCGATTATAGTTAATACCTCTTTACATTAAACTTTCTCTGTTCAAATTACTGTGTGGTTTCTCTCTGCCGATTGGACCCAGACTGATACACACACATCACCCTGCCCCTCACTGTTGCCATGCAACTACGCAGCCATCTGTCCCCCCACGCTTAACCCTAAACTGACCCTTTTGAGGACACTGTTCATACACCTTGAGTCTCTCTGTTTGGCTCCAAAGGATGGCCGGTTAGTCAATGACGGGTAAGATTCCTCGTGGGAGGAACAACCTAAGACAGGCACGGTCGGGTGGAGGCCATTAGGAGAAATCTCGGGGCTGATGGCGGTGGGCATGAGCCCTCACTCGCCCCCCCCCCCAAAAGACTGGAGGTTTTCTGCCTCTGTGGCTACATTCCTTCCCTCAACCTGCTTGGGAAGTTACCTGATGGTGTGATAGTGTCTGTCCTCAGCACAATAATCTTATTTTCCTGGGGTCATTTGCATATAGGATGTGTGAAGACAGAGCATCTGTCTTATTGCAGCGGGCGGAGTTTACAGGCATGGGTAATCTGGCTTGAGCTAGTTCTCAGGAATGAGACTCTCAGACTGTGGAGAGAACAATGCTACTTCCAGGTGGGTGGAGAAATAAAAGCGGTGTGTCGGCCAGATTCGGGGCTCTTAGTCCACGAGGCTGGAGACCCTTGGCCCCACACTCCTTTAACTCTTGACTGCTGTTTCTTTTATCTCTTAACCCTTCGCCGCCCCCTCTCGTTCTCCCACTGCTCATGTCATGCGGGACGCGACACCCAACCTTCAGGCTCTGCCAAGGCTGTGGAGCAGTGGATTCTAGGAAAGGGATGTGCAGGGCCAGGCACACAGTAGGTACTCAGGAAAGCATGAATGAATAGATGATGGGGAATCCTGACACACAGAGCGATGCTCACAACATTCTGTCATCTTTGACTGACCACTGCCCCCTCCCCCGGCCTCTCACTCACCTCTACCTCCCCACCCCCAGCTCCTGCATAGCACTCCAAGTCAACTTCTTAGACAATCCTTCACCACAGATGGACCAGTTTAGCCTAAGAGGACAGAGGTAGACCTGGGCCCAGAGAGAGGCAGGATCTTGCCTAAAGCCACACAGATCAGTGGCCACAGGAGGGCTCAAAATCAGGGCCTCCCAGGTATCAACCGCCTCTTGGTGAGAAAGAGCAACTTGCCATGGCCTGGGTCTGAGACAGGTCCAAAGGAGCCCATCTTACAAAAGGAAGTAAGAGGCTGAGATGGGAACAGGAAATTAAGGGGGACTTACTTTGTTGCTACTCATTTCTCTCTCACCGTTGCTGAGGGGCAGGGGCCAGCGTCCTGCAGATGGCCCAGCGGGCAGGAATTCAGACTCACACCTGTAAGCCACAGAAAGGTTTATGGCCTGGATGCCCTCCCCTAGGTCCAGCTAGTCAAAGGTTACACCCTTTCCTCCCCTGCCAGCTCTCCTACCCACCCATGGCGTCAAGGCTCAGGGCCATACCCATTTTGCAGACACTGAGGCCCAGAAAGGGCAGAAAACTGCCTGAGGTCACACAGCCAAGCGGTAGCAGTGCCCTGCCTCTCTCCTTGCCCCATGCTCTCTCCTACTCTGCTCCCTCAGCAGGGGCCTCCCCATACCCTGGCTCTCCTAGGCAGCTAGTTTCCCTACTGGGAGGCCTGGCCCCCACCCAGAAGGAAGCTCATTCACACCCCTACTCTAAAACCTGCCTTAGGTCCCTGTGGCCTCAGAATAAAGCAACATTCCTTGCAGGTGCCCAAACTCCTCTGCACTGCACCCTTCCACGTCTTGTAAACTGTTTGCAACATCCTGCCCTCCTGCACACACCCACTCATCCTCCAAGCCTGCGGTGAGCCACGAACTTCCGTGTGTCACCTCCAGCCAGGCTGAGATCTCTCTGAGGGTGCAGCCAACACAGGTCCTCACTCACATTCTCTGCTGTGCCTCCAGAGCCGTGGAGATGGGTGCAGGAGGATTGCTGGATGACTTCGTTAATTAACAGTAAGATCTTGGGGGTTAAGGGCAGACTCATCCGTCAAATGGCCTATAATCACAGCTCCTGCCTCAGAGGGTGGGTGAGGGGCCTCAGGGGATGATGAAGCCTTGGGCAACCCTATCTTTCTGCCCCAGCCCCAGTGGCCTCCGCTGTGAGGGGACAAGCCCAGATCTGCTCCTCACTCCCCAACCAACCCCCATCCTCATGAAGCCATCTCCTCTCCAGCTTTCAACTTCCCCACCTGTCAAAAGGAAACAAGTACTTGTGTGCAGCCACCTCCAGCAGATTCAAGCCCAGCGGGCACTAAGGTTGGAACAGTGCAAAGGGAGAAGAAACTGGGGCTTGGGGAAACTGGGGCTTGGGGGTCACCAACTTTTTCCTCCTCTCCTGGGGCCTCTCAGATCCGGCCATTATCTCGGGTCCCGGACCTAGCTAGCGGCTGTTTACTCCTACACAGCCACCAGGAATAGCCAGAGAACTTCTAACCAAAGGAGCCGCCCCCCACATGCCGCTCCTGATTGGTTAGGTCCTGACCCCGCCCACTGGCCAACCCCGCCCCCTCTCCATAGTAGGACCCGACCCCCCCACAGCCGGGTTTCAAGTTTCTCCTAGGCCATCCCTCACAGCCAGTCTGGTAGGCCCCGGGACTCTAGGGACTCTAATCAAGTACAGATCAAGAAACTGAGGCTCATCAGAAGCGAAGAGTGGCCTGTCCTTGCACTCACAGCCCATTAAGGCAAAAGCCAGGAGTCCAGAATCCCAGAGTCGCCCCCATCAGCCTTAAAGCCTCTGATATTCCAGGTCCTCATAGGTCCAGCTGAGCCAGGAGCTTCTCTGAACGGAGCCTCCCCCCTCACTACCATTTCCTTTGAATGCCCCTTGCTCCAGACATACTAGATAGAGCACTCCAGTTCCCAGGCCCACCCCCCCCCCCCCCATTTTCCCACCTTTGCCTGAGCAGTGCCCTCAGCCAGGAAGACCATCCACCTTGTCAGCCCTGTCACAATCCCGCTCTTGAGAAGACCATGGTCAGTACAGCATCTCAGGTTCAAGTGTGAATCCGGGTTCCACCGCTTACTGGCTGAGGGGCCTCAGGCAAGCCAAGTGACCTGAGCCTTAGTGTCCTCATCTGTGAAATGGGAGTAAAGAAGAGTAGGAAAGTCACGGGGTTATTCGAGGCCATCCTCACCTAGTTTGCCAGCGAAACACTCCCCCCTTCTCTGACTCCTGTCTCAGAGACTTCCCTGTATAGCAGGAATGTGTTCATGAGCCATGCTAAGCATCACCCTCTCACTCATCTTCCTGGCAAAACTGCAAGGTAGGGCTCTTATTTCCCATTTCACAGGAGACTGAGGTTCAGAGAAGCAAAACGCCTTACAGTGCTCTCCAGGGTCAGCTAGGGAGCCTCGTTTCCAGGGAGCAGCCTAGGGATGAGGCTGACAGGATCTCCCTCGAGAATCCCCCAGGGCTGGAATGGGTCAGAGGCCACCGAGTGTGTGCCCAGCACCTAGCCTGGCACAAAAGGTAGGCAGGCCTGTTGGGGAGCAACTAGGTCCGGCAGGGAAGACCTCAATCCAGAGCGCTGGACCGGGCGCGTGGACTCAACCCCAAGGCGGGCCGTGCAGAAGGGCTGAGTCTGTGGGTGCGGGCCACACACACCCTGCCCTCTGTTTGGGGGCTTTGCCTCTCCCAGCCCGGGGAGTCCTCTCGCAGGGTCGGGACGCACCCACGAGCCGCGCGGGAGGAGGGCTTCGGGAGAAGGGGGAGGAGGCACCTAATTCCTAAATGGGGGGCGCTGAGCCCGTGGGTCCACCTGGGGTGGGGGCGACTCACCCTCGGAGCCCCTTTTGCACTGACCCCCCACACACACTCCCGCACTCCGGGGGGTCCGGAGCCCTGGCCCCAGCTGGGCAGAGAAGGGAGGCAGGACGGCGGCCGGGTCCCTGAGCTCCAATGATGTAGTCAGCGGCAGGAGGCCCCGCGAACCCCACGACGGCCCCTGGGCGCGAGGACCGGGATCTCCCAGCGCGGTTGCCTAGAGAGTGGGTCTAAGGCAGCCCCCAGGGCCCCCGCATCATCACTTCCCATCCCCCCGGGAAGCAGGCAGCGCCCCCTCCCGTTGCCCGCCCCCGCGCAGCGCCTGCTCACCTCCCCTGGGGAGCGCCCGGCCCCCCGCGGCACCCGAGCCCCTTCACATGGCGCCGGGTGCGGAGAGCCGGGGTCCGCGCTCCTCCGGCCGCCCAGGCCCCGCCGCAGCCCCGGCCCGCAGGGTCCTAGCGCCGCCGCCGCCGCCGCCGCCGCCGCCGCTCAGGCCCACGCCAGGGAGGCAGGCGGAGCCTCGAGGGTCCGCGACTGGCTCCGCCCCCGGGCGGTGCCAGTGGGGAAGGGTGACAGGCTGGCGACCCCCGGCTCAGGCCACGTGAGAGCCTCGCCTACTCCTTTGGGCCGCCGTAGTGACAACGAAAATAGCCTTCCGGGTCCCCTTAGTGTGGGGCAGGCCCACTTCTATCCGGCTTTATTGTCACCACGACCTAGATGGGGAAACTGAGTCTCGGAGCACACTGCGCTTGGAATCGGTTGAGTTTCTCCCTGTGCATCCCTACCCAGGGCCTCTAGAGTCCTGCCCCCAGTAGTCACTCTGGGTAACTCAGGGTCTACCTTGGATTCAAATCCAGCTCGGCCCCCTCTGGCTGTAAGGCCTGGCACGTTACTTACCCTTTCCCTGCATTCCTCTGGAAAATAGGGAGAACAACCTCATAGGGTCTAGTAAAGATTTAAAATGTTATTGACTTATAATTTTCAGGGTATTCTTTACATCATTTTATGTGATAGTGAAAAATAACAAGTAGCCATGATAGGGACCTGGTAAAACAAAGGCACTGCTAAAATTAATGCTGTAGCTCAACGCATCTTTTTTTTTTTTTTAGCTGAGCCCTCCTGCCACTTGTTGGCAGCTCAGCTCAGGTAGGGCTCGAACCACCGTTGCTTTAGAGCTCACACTCTTGAGAAAGCTCTTAACCAACTGAGCCACTCGTCCAGCCCTGTTCAACACATATTGATAGAAGGGATGGCCAGGATATTTACCGGATGTTAAAGTGAAGCAAGCAAGTTAAAGAATTGCAGCTCTATAATCCCTTTGCCAAAATAAAGGCGTAAAAATGTGCATTCCCTTCCTGAGAAAAATTCTTGCACATGTATGCAACAAAGTGCATAGCAGCATTGACTGAAATCATACTAAACTGGAAACAGCCCATATATCAACAGGAGAATGAATTTTTTTTACATGATGGTACATTCACAGTGTGGAATATTAAATAGCAGGGGAAAATGAATGAGCTGCAATTACATGGATGAATCTCAGAGACATAAGGAGCAAAAAAGAGAAGCCTCACTTGACAAATGAACTACACAATATATTGTTTAAGCATATAGTGGGCAGTAGGCCATCTCTCATAACCAGGGACAGGAGATGGCTTTTGCCTATCAGAGTGATTCAAGTTTTCACAGCAAAACTCAAGAACACCGTTGTCTCTGAGAGGGAGGCAGGGAAGTGGGAGGAAGTACAGGGGTGTGAATTTCTAGCACCTCTCTGGTCTTTAAGTGGGACATGGGTTCAAGAGGTTCATTATATTACTATGTTTTATAACTTACAGGTATGATGAATGCTATCATTTTTATCACAATACTTTTTTTTAAATGGCAAAAGAGTAGAGAAATCAAATGACAATAAAGAGGTACCTTTTGCGTATCATGGTGATTAAAGTGTTAACAGTCGATATTTCTGGAATGATGAGATTATGGGCTGCCTTTTTTCTTTTGGCTTAATTGTATTTTCCAAAATTTTAAAATAATGGTTACGCAATGCTTTTATATTTAAAAACTTAATTTATAAAAATGGACTGCATATATAGCATGATTCCTTTTGTTGAAAATACAACTATCGATGCATATATGTTTGCAAATGCACACAGAAAATGTCTGGAAGAATTTATGAGGGCCTACTGGCATTCGTTTTCCCTGAGGAGCAGAGGTGGGGTGGGAGGGGTGGGCGCCATCTTCACTTTTCACTTTATAAACTTCCAGGTGGTTTGCATTAGGCTAATTTGGTAAGTTAATACCACTTTGTTTTTAATTAAAGCAAAAGTGGTGGAGGCAAAGTCCACCCTCCAGGCTGTGGAGACAGTGCCCACCAGGCAGTAGGGGAGAGTAGGGAGGGCCTAGGGTGGATTCGAGGCTTCCTGCTGCTTTGGTGTCCACTTCCATCTGCTTCCTGAGCCTCGGCCCCCATCCCCGCCCTTGGCCCTCCTTGGCTGCCTGCCAGGATGGAAAACCACCGAGCAGGGGCCTAGGCAGTCAGGCCAGAAGCCTGATGAGCCCAACTGCCGGAAGCTCAGAAAAGGGGAGCCTCTTGCCGGAGGTCACCAACAGGTTGGAGGCTACACCAGGGTGGGGCATCCTGCCTCCAGCCCTTCTTCCTACCCCAGGCCAGTGACCTCTGGAAATAAGAGGGTGCAGCACCCCAGTTCCTGGACTAAATCTGGACGTAGAGCTCCCCCCTCAGGCCGGCCGCGTCCCCGGGCCCTGGCTTATGCCAAGAGGCTCTGCTATAGGGCTGGCTTACCTTTCCTGAGCCCTGAGGAATAGAGTGAAGAAATAAAATGGAGTCACTCTAGTCAAGGTGCTAAATTACTCAAATCAAGTAGGTTCATGTATGAGGAAATGGTTCTATTCTTGTTTTACTGGGAATTTAACTTTTGAACTTTCCAGTCCTGCATCAATGCCTAGATATACATCTAACCTCTAGATAACCCCTGGCTACTCCCTGAAGGACTAAGGAAAGAATGTCACGTATCCAGACTGCCTGACATCAAGTATTCAGACCACCTGTCATCTAGAGGATGACTATCTGGCACCAATCCAGAGGCCAAGAAGGCAGGACTGGTCTTCTCAAGAATCACCTTTTTACGTAAGAGCCCTCAGTTTTTCTTTCTTGTTTGGAACACTCTGGGTATTGCCTAATTGTCTTTCCAGTTTGCAAACCCTAAGGCCCTTGAATAAATCTTGATCATTTATTTCTAGCCAAAGCCTCCAGACTCTTTGAATTCCTGTGACCGCCCCACAGCCCCAAGAACAATAACAACCACTTCAATAAGGAGGATAAGAAAAACAACAGCTCTCATGTGTCATGTGCTTTCTCCTGTGATAAGCGCTTTGCAAACACACTTCACTGGATCCTTAAATTAGTCTATGAGATGGGTACTACTGTTATCCCCACTTTCTAGAGGGAGAAGTGAGATTTAGAGTACATGGGTGCCCGAGCTGGGTTCCCCCCAGGCCTGTCTGCTGAATAACCAAAGGATGTTCTGCTCCAAAGCCCCACGCCTGCCTACACCCACACAGGGACTTCCATGGATGGGTGGCTGTGGCCAATACCAGTGCTCCTCCCCGACCCTGCTTGGAGTCGGTCCTTTCTCTGGGCTGCTCCCCCCTGGTCTGGGGAAGATGGCCTCTGCTTCAGCCCTTCCTGCCCCAGGGTAGGGGTCCTGGGTGTGACCCTCCTTCTTGCCCCTTCCCAATCTGCACTGTTAGGATTTTCCCCTTCCACAGGGTCCTGGAAAGAGTCCTCAGAGACCTCCTCAACCTGCCACCCCAGCTCCCAATCTACAGAGACTGAAACCAGGGCCCATAGAGGGGACAGGACTTGCCCAACACTCCCACTGGGTCCCAGGCAGAGCCAGGATAGGAGCCAAGCCTGGGGACTCCAGCCTCTGTCCCTCCGGGCAGAGAAGGAGCCGGACGGATGCGCCTCTGAAGAGAGGCGGTGAGAGCCACTGGCAGGTGAGGGCCTGCACTCAGCAGCGGCTCCGTAAGCACATGCCTGGGCGGTGGGTCTGGAACCGGAAGTACCTGGTTCTTCACAGACAGCGGCTGGAGTGGTCAGGCTGGCCCAGGTGACACTGGACATGGATGTTGTGGACAGAAAAGGGGCCACATGTTAAACCTAAAAAGCTCAGGAGACTGAAAATAACCACAGAGGATGGCGTGAACATAAACATTTTTAACTAAGTGGACCATGGTGGGAAGTCACATCTTCAGCTTCCTCATTAAGTTAATCTGTGCCTTTTCAGTGGGCCTGTTGTCTTTCTGTACATAAAATAACATCTTTAATCCTTTTTCCAGACCAGAGCTGAAAACTGCAAAATTTCTCATTATTATGTGTATCTCCTGATTAACATCTCATCTGAATGAGCGAACAATTGTTAGTTATCCTGCACCCACCTGTGTGGGAGGAGTACCTGTCTCTCCAATGTACTTTTATCCAATCCCAAAGATTTCCCCGCTTTGCTTTCTCCTACCCCTTCATCTATCACCAATGGATTTCATGTAACTTTCCTCCTTTGATTTTATGTATAAAATAAACTCCAAACCGCCATTTTGCGGAGCATTTTCTCAATCCGTTGAGATTTTGCTTCCCGGCAATTGTCAACAGTTTGGCTCAAATAAACTCTTATAAGTTTTCTCTTAGGCTGGATATTTTTGTCAACAGTGTCTACCAGTACCCAGAAGAACCGACATTCCTCCCCTCACCTGGCTAGATGAGTTTTTGAGTGTGAGTTCCTGGCCTGGCCCCAAGTTCCTTTGAGAGGAGTGGCCACTTAAGATACCTCCAAGCTGTGAGGCTCACCTGGTTTTCCCCTCTGGCCTCAGGAGGAAGTAGGTGCATCCCCAGCAGGCCTGCTGAGGGGACAAAGAAGCCAGGGTGTGGACAGAGGCCCAAAAAGGGGCTGCATACCAAGGTGCTACCACATTCCTCAGAGCTGGCAAGAGACTCCTGCCTCGACTCACCTCCTGGAAGCTGCAGGAACTGCAGTGGTAGAGCCTTCAGCAGGCCTGGAACCAGTCACCAGACCAGCCAGTGGTCACCTTTCTGCCTCGTGGATCGCTCCTGCTAGGTCACCACTCCAGAAAGACATTATGTGGTCCAACCCAGCAGTAAACACCCTACCCAGGGGCAGAGCCAGGACAGAGGCGCCTCTGTGTACTGGGCCAGCATCTTCCAGGGGATGAGGAGGAGGAGGCAACTGCCTGGGAGGGGGGTGAGTTTGAATCCCATCAGAACCAGTAGACTACGGCCTTGGAGCCCAAAAATGAGGCTGTGAGCCAGGAGGGAGCTGATGGTGGTGGGAGGTCTTCCTGCCCATCTGTCACCACCAAGGAGGGGCAGGGACAGGTGAGCAAGGGCTACCCCATTGAAAATGATGGCTCTCACATATCAAGTGCCAGCGTTGGGGACAGGCACTTTACAGGCGCCATCTCTTTGAATTCATACAATCCCTTGAGGTATGGGTGACTTTAATATCTTTTCTACAGGTGAGAAAACTGAGGCTCAGACAGAGGCACTAATTTGCCAGGGTCCCACAGCAGGAAGTAGAACCAGAATGAGGCCACGTCTGACTCCAGAGCCCCGCTCTGCACCCAAAAGTTCCCCTACCAGGCCCCCACCTGCCAGGTTACATCCCACCCTTACTTCTGCCTGACACCTGCTCAGTGACACTCGCCACTGCCTGGCTAGCAGCAGTGGTTTTGCTGCCAGCCTTCTCCCTCCCACAGTAGTACTCCCTGCTCCCCCGCTCAGGGCTCTCCTCCCTACTCCTACACTTGCAGAGCCTTCTGGGCCCGCCTGGCGCTGGGTAGGGGGAGGCAGGGCACAAAAGTCAGTACTCTGGGCTAGATGCCAAGTCTCCAGCCTCTCTTGAGAAGGTCACCCAGACTCCCTGGCACGACCAGCTACATTAATTTGTGGGGGCCAGTGCAAAATGAAAATGTACAGCCCTTGTTAAAAAAAAAAAAAAAAGATTTGAATTTCAAGTTTGTGTCAGCAGAGCATTAAGCTAAGCAAGTGTAGGGCCCAGGGCAACTGCACAGGTCAGACGCCCGTGAAGTGGCAGGCTCCTGGAGCTGGAAGCTAGATCCCCAAGGCTCCACCCCAGCTGAGAGCCTGAGGTCTAGGGCCCTGGTCCTCCATTAGTCAGTCTCCTGGTCTCCAGATGAAAGAAGGTGGGAGGGAGGGAGGGAAGGGTGGTGAAGCCCTTGTGGGCTCTTTCCAGCCCCTTGGTTCAGGGCCCAGATGCTCAGGCTCAGCTCTCAGACCTGGGACTGTGTCCTGGCTCGGCCAGCAGAGTGGCTTCACCTCATCTGTAAAATAGGCTAACACCAGCCCCCTCCCAGGGTGGCTGCATGGCCTTGCTAGCTGTTTGCTGGTGAGTCGGCTTTTCCCCTTTTACAGGTGAGGAAACAAGCTCAGAAAAGGTAAGCTTTGGGACTGCCCTACCTCGTCCAGCCTTACTTGCTTGAAATGGAACCAACTCCAGAGTTAATAGGGAATTTAACTGGCAAGGTCCTTGGAATCTGACCCTGAACCACTGGGAGGTGACGTGGGGTGGAGGAATTTCCTTCCCGCTGAGTCGTTTTTCTCCCAAGCCCCAGATTCTCCTCCCAGTGCCTACTGGGTGCAGGGCGGAGTCCCACGGATGCCTCTACGTTGGGGCATGTCCGGGCCAAGTACAGCCATGGGGCCAGGCTCTCTGACCTGGTTGGGAAGGGGGCAGACTCTTGAGGAAGAAACACACAGGCAGATTAAGTGGCCAGAAGCCCAGCCGGCTGTGGGTCTGGGGAGGGAGTGACCCCAGGACTTGGCCTGCCCTCAAATTAACAGGTTACAAGACTGTGGCAGGGACAGGAGCCCCAATTCCCACCCCCAGACACATAACCACACTGGATACAGGCTTCCAGAAAACACACGTTTACCCGTACACTCGAGGTGGCCCTGGCAGTCACAGTTCAAAGGCCCCTTTGCCCAAAGAACCCCAAGCTCTGGGCTGCCCTGACCAGGGCAACCAGCCTGGGAAGTGTGGCACCAAAAATGGGTGGAGGAGGAGTCTAGAGAGGAAGGACCAGGGCTGGTGCAAGGTTGAAGGTCATGAAGCTGGTGAGCAGAGGACCACCAGTCCTGGGGGCAAAGGCCACTGGACAGACCCGGAGGTGGGATGAACCCCCCAATGAAGATTCAGATTATTCAGGGAGTGGGGGTGGGGAGGAGGGTACAAAGGTCGCCACAGCCCCACTCTTCTCCCCTTCAAGTCTGGAGGCCCGAGATGGCTTCCAGGTGTCCCCAGGGTAGGGCAGGAGGGAACCCTAGGTCCACTTGACATGTGGCAAAGGCAGGATCCATAAGTTGAATGTTTTTGGCGGAGTGTGAATAAACAGAGGCATTGTAGCCGGCTGAGCCACGGGGCTACCGGGTCCTCCAGGACGGGTGGGCGAACACGATGGGCCGCTTCTTGGCCCAGCGGGAGAACACGGCCTTCTCAGTGATGAAACGGTGAGCACTGCGGGGCGCCCGCTCGTGTGCCAGGTACATCTGACACTCGTCCAGACGGCCCTTCTCGAAGTAGTGGTAAGGCACTGAGGGGTGGCTCTTGTCCCTGCGGGGTGGGGAACAGGGACAGGCGTGAGGCACCAGGACCTGCCCGCCTCTCGCCAGTCCCTGCGCCTCCCTCGGCCAGCCCTCACTGCAGGCCCACGGAACCCCATGTCTGGTCCCAGGGGAGGCCAGGGAAGACAGGGGAGCAGCAGAGCAGCTTGCGGATCCCCAAAGGCCAGTGTTCAAGTCCCAGCTCTGCCTCTTCCAAGCTGGGTGACTTAGGCCAGAGATGTACCCCGTAAACCTTACTAACCCACCTGTGAAATGAGAAGGGTGAGATGCAGGCTTAGTCCACAGGTCAAAAGGATGAAGACTACACAGTGCTTTGCGGGTGCTGGGCTCATGGTGAGGGACCCCTCATGCCCTGTGACACACACCCACCTACCCACTGGCACCGTGGATACCAGCAGTCTGGCCAAGTGCCACTGCAGAGGGCACACAGGCTCCTGCCATCTCACCTACATGCTCAACAAACAAGTTCCAAAGAGAACAGAGGGTGAAAATATGGGAACTTCCTGAACTTTTTCCTTCCAATAATACTGAAAACTAATATCGAAAGTTAGATGTAATATATATCGCTAACATATAATCAGCCCCCGTGTTAAGTACTTCTGTAGATTATCTCTCTCTCAATGTTTCCATAACCTTCTGAGGAAGACGTGATTTGAACTCTTTCATGCATGAGGAAGTGGAGGCGCCAGGAGGTGGCATGACCAGCCTAAGGCTTACACCGGCAGAGCGGAGATTGGGTTCGAGCCTGTCCCAGAGGCTGAGCCCCTTTTCCATGGGCATCAGGCCCGAGGGCTGTCTGTGCCTCAGCCACCCACCCAGAAGCCCACATAGCCTGCACTCCACAGCTCCTAGACCCTTCAGCGTGAGGTCCTCCAAGCCTCCCCAGCTCCCCTCCTGCCCAGGGCCTGGCTGGACTAACCTGCAGTAACTGTCGCTGACCATTCCATAGACCACGATCTCCTCACACAGCTCTAGGGCAAGGATCATGGTAAACCAGCCGGTGCTGAGAAAGGAGCCTGACTGCCTCCTGGCAGGAAGAGAAAAGACAGTCAGCCAGGCCGCTTCCCCCACTCAACTCAGAGCAAGGGGCTGTGTGGGGGTCCTAGCCTCAGCTCTCTCAAGGCACAGCACTGGTTACCCTCCCAGCCAAAGGCCACTAATCTTGACCCCTACAAAAAGGACCCTTGGAGGTGGCTGGGGACAGAACAGAGCCAGCCCAAGGCTGGCAGCGGGCAAGAGGTGGAGCTGGATGCAAACCCGGGTCTGTTCATTTCCTCACCATCCACACCAGGCTTGAGCAAAGCTTTGGACGATGGTGCGGGGGGCCCTGGCCGTATCCTCTCTGCATCTAAGGGACCAAGCTTGGGGAGACAGCGGGAGACAGCAGAGCACAGTGGTTGAAAGCGGGAAAGGGGGTTGTCTGGAGTCAAATGGTCTTCGAACCCTGCAACTGCTCTGGGGTATCAGATTTTCTCATGAACCTCTCTAAGCCTCAGTGACCCATCTGTGAATCGGGGATCATTATAGGTGGTTATGGGGAGGGAACACTGTCAGCCCAGCAGCCCCCCCACGACTCCACACCTAATTCTGAACAAGGGGCTGTGTGGCCACACCAGGCCTTCAGACTCTCAAGGTACCAGCACTGGTTACTCTCTCAGCTGAAAGCCACTCACTTCCACCTCTACAGAGGCGTTAGGAGGTGGTTCATTCACTCAAACTGAGCACCTCCCAAACCCTGTGCTGGCCAGGAACCTGCTACACCCAATGCTAACAACATTCTCAAAGGAGGAGGCTGCCGGAAGAGAACAGCTGAGAAGACAAAGAGACAAAGGAATGGGGATAAAGAATATTAGATGGGAGGTGATCATCAGATAGGGTGGTCAGAGAGCGCTTTTCTGAGGAGGTGACGTTCCACCCATGCCTCAATAGCAAGAAGCGTTCAGGTATGGGGAGATTTGGGAGAATGTTCTAAGTGGAGGAAACAACACATACAAAGGCATGCGAGAGCCAGTGTGGGTGTCTGAGGAAGCCCAGATGGCCCATATGGCTGGAGAAAAGGTCAGAGAGGCAGGCAGGGGCCAAATCATACAAGGCCTGTAGGCCAGGGGAGGGAAGGAGGTGGGAGTCTGGACTTTATTTTCCACGTGAAGTGAAGCTGCTGTCGGTTTGAGGGCAGGTGACCGATGGGATAAATTTACAGAGGCAGCTGGAGCTCAGACCACAGCGGGTAAGGGTGGCAGCTGGGACACCCGCGAGGAGGGTGCTGCAAGGGCAGGGGAGGATGGTGGCACCTGTGGGCATGGAAGGAGATTCAAGAGCCCACTGTATGTGGTAGCTGATGAAACAAAGGGAATTGGGGACAAGGCCCAAGTGTCTGGCTGGAGAACTGGAGGCTGGCAGCTGTATTTCCTGAGCTGGGGAGGCCGGAGAGGAGCCGAGGAGAAGGTGGGAATAAAATGAGATCTTGAAGGCAGAGTTGCAACCCAGTGCCTGGCGCATGAAGCGGGCTATCAGTACCGTGACTGTCTCTTTCGTTTTCTGGAAGGGATTTCAGAGACCAACTCAGGTCTCAGAGCATCCGCTCTGAAAGGAAAAGCTCCCTGATACCACCCCCACTCTCCTAAATGCTCCTAAGGCCGAATGCCCCTCACCACCATTCAGGATCCTTGATCTATGTGATAATCTGATGAATGGCAGTCGCTCTGATTCCTGCTCTCCATTACAGGGCAGGACCACATCTGCCTCCATCACTGCTAATCCTCAGCACCTGACCTGGCAGACCCTTGATGGACAAGAAGCTCCTGGAGAAGACAGGCCCACAGCCATCAGGGAGACCCCTGCAGGCGGGCCCTAGCTCACCGGTTCTTGCCAGTCTCATCCTGGAAGACCTGGTCACAGTAGGCCATCATGCGCTCGGTGAACGTGTACACCTGCAGGCCCGGGTACATCTTGGTGAGCTGCAGCAGCGTGCGGTAGGTGCGGCCCCCGAGGGCCCGGTCCATGTGCTTCCCCTGACCCCACACCACGTAGAGCGTGTCGCGGGCCTGCTGGAAGTAGTGTGAGTAGTTGCGAAGCAGCAGCGGTACGGTCGTGTGCGAGATCACGCGCAAGGTGCTGCGCTGGCCCACATCTGCCTCAAAGCCCACGGTGGGCGCCTGGTTCATACGCAGCACACAGTCAGCACCATCGATCTGGGTGCCCAGGCCTGAGCCCAGCATTTGGCCAGAGCTGGACACCACGGCACAGCTGCGGCACGACTCTCGGACCAGCGGCTGCAGGCGGAGGTAGACAGAGAAAGAGAAAGACGTGGGCACACAGCTTATGCTCCCTGCTCCTCCCTCAGTAACACCCACAGACCTCGCTTGATCCCTGTCTCAGCTCCAAGTACTTTATCAACCCATTTTACAGATGGGCAGCTGGAGTGACTTTCCCAGGGTCATACCGACAGCAAGTGGCAGAGTAAGATTCTATGTTCAGAATCCCATGTTTCTTTTTTTTTTTTTTTTAGCCGAGCCATCCTGCCACCTGTTGGCAGCTCAGCGGCTGCTCAGCTTGGGCTGGACTCGAACCGCTGTTGCTCAGAGCTCAAACTCTTGAGCGAGCTC